GAAGACCGGCGCCGGATGGGCTACAATGGCTACACCAACTTACGACGACAACCTGTGGTACATCCAGCGGAGGCGATAGGAACTTAGAAATTGTAAGCACCGTCTTCGACGAGGCAAGCACAGCGTTCTCCACACGTATGGCTGCGAAATATACGTCTGGAAAGTCGTACGTACAATTGTAATGGCAACTTGTCACACTCGCTAGTTCCATTCAGACATTTTAATGGCACTCGCACACTTGTATCTCACTTTCTTTTCTTTTGTCAACGAGGAAAATTCGTTTGTCCATACATTTTTCAAACCGTGCTTATGTCTGAAGTGTTTACAGTGCATATCAGTTCCTCATGACTTTGATCGTAAACAACTGCGTTATTAATTATGTACCGTATTCGCTCACAATAGCACATTTTTCTCGCCAATTTACAAAACATTGTGAACCGGCCGAACATATTTTGAACTCAATTTCCGGCCATCAGAGTTCCATTTATTTTCCGCGGTAACAATGGGACGTCTGGTTCTGCGTTAACGCGTTGAAATCGCATTTCCTCGGTCACCTGGCGCGTTCGATCAGCATTCTCGATCGCTCGGCGAACACACACGGAGCACGGAGAGTAGAATTTCGAGGCGAGACCGGGGCGGCGCGTCGCGAATCGTTGGAAAATACCATGCGGCGCGTGGTTTTTCCGGTCTCGCGGAGGGACGTTAACGGGCCCTCGAAGATTATGGGTTATCGACATTGTTTGTCATGCGTTACGACGACGGCGCGGCGGAGAACGACGCCGCGCTCCGTTTGCTACGCTCGTTCACTTTCATCGTGTGTACTCGCGCGATTTTACACTTCCTTGGGCGGCCCGTGTTCTCGCGCGAGGAACCCGCGCCTCGTTTACCGGCGTGAGATCAATTAGAATGCACATGCTCGAACACTAAAAGAACAAACGCGAGCGAAGGCATTCTGAAGACCGATGCATTCCTGTTATTCTCATTTCATTTTCAACCGATGACTTCTGCATTTTCATTAATGAATTTCTTCAGAAATAAAACAGCTCGGAGTAGATTTATATTGCTCACGCGTTATATGAAATCCTAATGGCGGTTTGGACGTCAATTAAGACTCGAAATTCTCCTTTCTAAGCAAGTATTCAACTTCTTGCCATGGACAATAATGTCGAAGGAATTGAAAGGAACGAATCATTCGCGATCCTTGATAACGATTCAAACGTTCTGTCGCATAAAACTCACGCCCAGAACGACTCTACTTTTCGACGATTCGAAACCAGTCCGCAGGATCTGGTTGATCAGTCCATGGTCGTTTCGTTTAAGCCCGAGTCGGACCTTGGACAGAGATATTGAAACCAGCCTATTTTCTTCCAGTCGTTGGAGCACTCGACTGATTCGCATACGCGCAGTGTAATGACAGGTATTTAGAAAATGCGAATGTTCAATAGAAGGAGACTTAAACAGTGGTTACCAAGACCGAGTTCAATAGGAATCGTTATTTCCTTCGTGTTTATCAATCATTTAAGAATGTATTGGCTATACAGTCAATCCCAAAAGTTTATGCACTTTA